TTTTTTAATTTAATTTTATTTTATTTGTGAACATACTGTACAGAGGGGTTACAATTACATGGGCAGGATAATGCATACATTTCTTACCAAGCATTGCAGCTCCTCCTTTGGTTTACCCTTCACATCCCTTCCCAGCCTACTGCTAAATCTTTTAAGAGGAAATCAAGTTCTATCGTGCAAAAATACAAATAAAAGTTACCTGCTGTTGCTTGAAGTCAGATCTTTTTTTGATGAGATTATAAACACTCACAAATTTCATATATAGCACATAGGCCTTTTCCTCATCACGATCTAATCTGCATTCTTCTGCAGCTTTGAAGATCTTCAGAGCACTGTGCACATAGCTTAAAATTGGAAAAAAAAACTTTAAAATACTTGACATCTGAGAAAAAGATACAAGTTATATATAAAGTTTACAGACAATAAAAGTAAATTTCATGATTTAGGTTGCCCAGCCTTTAGTCCAGGAAGTCAGCCAGACACTCGTTCCTCACAAAGAGCTCTCTTAAAAAAATGCTTTTGTGCAGGCCACCGGTGGCTCACGCCTGTAATCCTAGCTACTTAGGAGGCTGAGATCTGAGGATCTTGGTTCAAAGCCAGCCCAGGCAGGAAAGACCGTGAGACTCTTATCTCCAATAAACCACTAGAAAACTGGAAGAGGTGCTATGGCTCAAGTGGTAGAGTACTTGCCTTGAGCTGAAGAGCTGAGGGACAGCTCCCACGCCCAGAGTTCAAGCCCCATGACAGACAAAAAAACCCAAAAAACAAAAAAAAACATGAGTCATGAGTTTCTTATCTCCAGTTAATCAAAAAGCCAGAAATAAAACTGTGGTTCAAGTAGTAGTGGGAAAGCCTAAAGGACGATATCCGGTCCCTGAGTTGAAGCCCTAAAACTGGCACCAAGAAAAAAAAAAGTATCCATTCTTCCTTCTAATCAAAGGAAGGCTATGCTAGAATCCTAAGTTACTTTCATGTTCAGTACAAAAAATAAACATAACCTTCCCTTTCTTTTATACTGTTTTAATAATTTGTGGCTAATGATTTTTAAATGTGTGATCTACTATGCATACTGTCTAGAGAACACATAATTTGCATATTAGCAGAACATCCATGAATTCTGCCAAGACAAAGATAGGTAGGTACTTCTCTAAGAAAGTATTACTTTCTTCAAGTGATTGTATTTTTTCTTTCCCAGCTGTGGGGCCTGGGAACTGTCCTACGCAATTTTGCTCAAGGCTAGTATTCAACCACTTTGGGCCACAACTCCACTTCTAGTTTTCTGGTGGTTAACTGGAGATAGGAGTCTCATAGCCAGACACCAGTGGCTCATGCCTGTAATCCTAGGTACTGTTGAGGCTGAGATCTGAGCATCATTGTTCAAAGCCAGCCCGGGCAAGAAAGTCCATGAGATTCTCATCTGAAATTAACCATCAGAAAAACAGAAGTGGTGCTGTGGCTCAAGTGGTAGGGTGATTGCCTTGACCTGAAGAGCTGAGGAACAGTGCCCAGGCCCATAACCAACAACAACAAAAAGTCTCACAGAGGGCTGGGAAGGTAGCTCAGTGGTAGAGCGCTTGCCTTGCATGCATGAGGCCCTGGGTTCGATTCCTCAACACCACATACACAGAAAAAGCTGGAAGTGGCACTGTGGCTCAAGTGGTAGAGCACTAGCCTTGAGCTGAAGAGCTGAGGGACAGCACCCAGGCCCAAAGTACAGACCCCACGACCGGCAAAAAAAAAAAAAAAAAAAAGATCTCACAGACTTTCCTGCCTGGGCCGGCTTGGAATTATGATCCTCAGGTCTTAACCTCCTGAGTAGATTAGAGGCATGAGCCACCAGTGCCAGGTGATGGTACTGATTTTCAAATCAACTTTAACAATTCATCTAATGTAAATAATAAATGAACTTAAATGACTATATGACTTATCAAATCAGCCAAGGATACATACTTCTTTGTGCTTATTTTCTCTGGTTTAACTTCAGTTTTCTTGTTGAGGTCTTTCAGGGATGAGCTGAGGTAGAGTTCTTTAGGAACTGAAGCCACGGCAGGCATGATGACCAGCTCTTACTTTCTACCTTCACAAGAGATGGTGTATTTCATGAAAAGTAGTTTTCCTGAAATGACAAGTAAGTCCATTAATTTTCTCATTACCAGAAAATAAGTCCACATGTTTTAGTGGAAACATTACTAAGTATATAGAGACAAAGACTAACACCATCATTGAGCAGAATGGCTGAGTACTATACAGTTTTGTAATTTCATCTTCTATCTGGACCATCAGTGGTGGTAGTAATCTAATGACAGGATATTGTTCAAAAAGTCAAGCAGAACTCATTTTGAGGATTCATCACTAATACAGTTCTTAACTAGGAAAAGTTGTTACTGATTTGAACTTCATGAAATGAAAATCTAGAACATGTACCTGAATACTTTTTTTTTTTTTGGGTCCGGTCGTGGGGCCTGAACTCTGGGCCTGGGCGCTGTCCCTCAGCTCTTCAGCTCAAGACTAGCGCTCTACCACTTGAGCCACAGCGCCACTTCTAGCTTTTTCCTTTTTTATGTGGTGCTGAGGAATCGAACCCAGGGCCTCAGGCATGCAAGGCATGCAAGGCAAGTGCTCTACCACTGAGCCACCTTCCCAGCCCTACTATTTTTTTTTAATGATTACCTTTGAATTTAGGATATATTAGAGGCAAACAGTAAACAAACTACATTTGGTGCCCAGGCAACTTACAATAGGAAATTTGCTATTTCAATTTTAATACAGATATTCTGCTATAGAGTGAGGTAGTGTGTGCGTCTACGGCCATACCACCCTGAACGCGCCCAATCTCGTCTGATCTCGGAAGCTAAGCAGGGTCAGGCCTGGTTAGTACTTGGATGGGAGAGAGGTAGTGTGCTTCCAGCAACTCAAAGATCAGATATAGTGTTTCTTTATAGTTTAAAAAATATGAAAGGGAATGTTTGTAAGCAACAGTAAAACAACACAGTATGACAGCAATCTCTGGAGTTACAAATAACAGAAGTACTCTAAGGATGATTCAGTATTGCTAGAGAGATATTGGCATTATGCAAGTAATTGAGTTCTGGAGGGAGAACGTTATTGATAGATGAGGAACTGTGTAAGAGAGGAGTCAAAAAAGTAAAGTATGGGCTGGGAATGTAGCTTAGTGGTAGAGTGCTTGCTTAGCATGCATCAAGCCCTGGATTTGATTCCTCAGTACCACATAAACGGAAAAAGCCGAAGTGGCGCTGTGGTTCAAGTGGTAGAGTACTAGCCTTGAGCAAAAGAAGCTCATGGATCCAGACCCTGAGTTCAAGTTCTAGGACTAGCCAAAAAAAGAAAAAAAAAGTAAAGTACATCTTTAGGAATCAGTCACTAGAGGATGAACAAGAATGTTATTATTATGTATCATTTTTTTCAGTAAGCCTAAAAAAAGTTTCAGCCAGACAATAAAAGAGAAAGGCCACACTAAAGTGTCTCCTTTGTTATTTAAAGTTAATAGGGAGCCACAGCAGGGTTCTGAAGAAGGGAGTTATGGGATCCAAAATTGGTGGCTAGAGATGGGAAAAACACCAGTTATCTACTGTAAGGATCCTAGGGAAAGACAAAGGTCAGAAGTAGGGCAGGCCAGAGGCGATGGAGGAGTAGATAGAAGAAACTCTGCAAAGATAGAATGACAGGACTGGACAGATGCTTACAGAAACAGGGAGGAAAAATACTGCCATAACATTATGCCATCAAAGGTATTAGCCAGGGCTTCCAGAACAAAGATCATACATATTTCAGACAGAGTCTTGCTATATAGTCTAGGGTACCCTTGAATTTATAATCCTGCCTCAGCTTCCTGAGTGCTGCCTATATAAGTATGTTTGGCTGATTTTTTGCTAGCATTAAAAATACATGCAGGGGGCTGGGAAGGTGGCTCAGTGGTAGAGCACTTGCCTTGTTCGATTCCTCAGCACCACATAAGCAAAAAGAAAAAAGCCGGAAGTGGCACTGTGGCTCAAGTGGTAGAGCACTAGCCTTGAGCTGAAGAGCTGAGGGACAGCGTCCAGGCCCAGAGTTCAGGCCCCACGACCGGACCCCCCCCCAAAAAAAATAAATAAAAATAAATAAAAGAAAATAAAAATAAAAAAAAATACACGCAGGGCTGGGATGCAACTCAGTGGCAAAGCGCTTGCCTAGCAAGTACAACCTCCTGGGTTCGATCCCCAATACCAAAAAAGAAAAGACAAAAAAAATACAGTTAAAAAAAATAAAAATACATGCAGCAGATGGCTCAGTGGTAGAGTGCTTGACTTGCATGCATGAGGCCCTGGGTTCGATTCCTCAGCACCACATAATCAGAAAAAGCCTGAAGTGGTGCTGTGGCTCAAGTAGTAGAGAGCTAGCCTTGAGCTGAAAAGCTGAGGGACAGTGCCCAGGCCCAGAGATCAGGCCCACTACTCCCCTTCCTTCCCCCAAAGCAGCATTTAACTATTATTTTTATTTATTTATTTTTGTTTTGTTTTGGCCAGTCTTGGAGCTTGAACTCAGGGCCTCGGCCCTTTCCCTGAGCTTCTATTGCTCAAGGCTAGCAGCCTACCACTAAGACACATTCTTAGTCCTATTATTTTTAATAGCAAAATCATACATTTTCCCAGAGATCAGAGGATTACGGTAGTCTTTTTTCCCCCAATTAAGTGAAAAAGTAAAAAATATACATCTAACCTTCAGGGATCTCAAAGGAATGGATACGTAATAATGAATCAAAAATGTAAAATGTAGTTCTTATTAGAGATGAGGGGGAGACAGGTACATGCCTCTAATTTCAGAACCTGGGAGGGGGAGTAAGGAAAATCAAGACCCAGTCAGTGAAGGTGAGGAGGGCCTTAAATGATTCTCACTGGCCAATCTGAAAAGCACTGCTCTGGGGAGCTACGGAAAACAGGACTTGTAGTCTTGTCATAGTTTAATTACCAATAACACGTTCAAACTGTCTAAAGAAAAAGGCAACAATTACTATACTATATATTATTACTATGACTATGGCCACTGGGAAGTCACTGGAAAGTTCAGTATAGCTGGAAAATTTTTTTTCCAGACTGGAATGTACTCCATTCGTGTTCTAGCCTTCCTTCTATAAGGGGCCAACTTAGGTTTCATCTCTCTGTGAAATAATCAACTGAACCAAAGGAGCCCACTGATATGTCCACAGTCTTTCCATAATCCTTAGTAGACATTTAATAGAAATTATAAACTGTGGGGCTGGAAAGGTGGCTCAGTGGTAGAGTGCTTGCCTTGCATGCATGAGCCCTGGGTTTGATTCCTCAGCACCACATAAGCAGAAAAAGCTGGACGTGGCACTGTGGCTCAAGTGGTAGAGCGCTAGCCTTGAGCTGAAGAGCTGAGGGACAGCATCCAGACCCAGAGTTCAGGCCCCATGACTAACAACAACAACAAAAAAATTAAACTGTACTATGAAAGGGTTAGAAGCAATGGGTAACAATGTTGTCAGACACGTTGTATTCATATACTGTTTTGTAGAATGGGAACTTCTTTGTACAACTACTTAGAGATATAATAATAATAAATGTAGGGGCTGGGAAGATGGCTCAGTGGTAGAGTCCTTGCCTTGCATGCATGAGGCCCTGGGTTCGATTCCTCAGCACCACATAAGCAAAAAGAAAAAAGCAAAGCGGGAGTGGTGCTGTGGCTCAAGTGGTAGAGCGCTAGCCTTGAGCTGAAGAGCTGAGGGACAGTGCCCAGGCCCAGAAGTCAGGCCCCACGATTGGACCCCCCAAAAAAAATGTAAAAAAAAATTAAACTGTACTATGAAAGGAGACACATCACATTACGAAGAAATTTCAAGGTTCAAAACCAGCCATAACAGACAAGTCTGTGAGATTCTCATCACCAAATAACCAAGCAAAAAGCTAGAACTTGGGAGAACAGCCGAAGGGGTGACATTGACCAAGATGTATTAAAACTGACTTGTTTAATTGAAAACCCTTTGTACAGCTACTCAAATTTTAAAAAACAAATGGGAAGTGGGGCTGTGGCTCAAGTAGTAAGAGTGGCAGCCTTAAGCAAAAAAGCCAAGTGAGAGACAGAGACCCCGAGTTCAAGCTCCAGTGCACATGAATAAAGCCAATACAATGAGCTGATATTTGATTCAGTAGGGAATACAAAAGCCTGTTTTTGATGGGAACAATATTATTTCAGTGTAGTAAAATTGTGGCTATTCATGCTAGGTTTGAAAGATCAGTGAGATGTAGTAATGCATGTCTGAAATGCCAGCACCGGAGACTGAGGCAGAAAGACCATTAGTTTCAGGCCAACTAGGGCCACATAGCTACACAGCTGAGACACTGCTGAAAGGGAGATGACAGCGTTGTGGCTGAGGTGGGGGGAGGGGAGACAGCAGAGGGAGCAATTATACCATGGAAAAGAACTAGAATCTCACTGCACAAAGAACCAAAGAGGACAGGAACATGCTTTGATAGCACACTGACTGAGACCAGGATGTCTCCTTTACCCTACAATCAACCCTCCCCACCACCACGGGTATAGGTGTGTGTGCACGCGCTCATGTGCGTGCGCATGTGCTCATACATGAGCTCACCTTAGTGATGCTCTGAAGAAATTAATACTGTAGCTTAAAAACAGATCAGTTTGTCATAGCACTTCTCAGATGGGCATGTCCCATTTTGGACTAGACAGGGTGCTGCTGTAGAAGGCTGCCCCACACAGCGGCGGATGTGAGCAGCATCCTGGTCTCTGCTCATTATCTGTCAGCAGAACTCAACCTTCTCCAGTTTTGACAACCAAATGTCCCTGGATGTTGCTAAATGTCCCCCCTGGGGGCAAAATTACTTCTAAATTACAGCCACTGATTTGTAAGAAAGTAGTTAATTCAATCTTGAACATGTTAAGTATATGATAAAAATAACTAAAGAAAGATATCTTGATAAGAGATGTAAATATGTAATTACAAAGCAGACATTAAATGTCTAGACAGACCAGACATTAAATCTATGTCTCAATTACGAAGGCATCAATGTTAATTTTTATAATCCCTATTGTTTGAGAGAGAATGAAGTACAGATACCGAAATACTACTAGGATTTA